GTGTTTCATGCTCAGGGTGCTTTGGATGTGGGGAGTGATGTCAATGAGTTGCAAAATGAGTTTCAAGATGGCAATGGATTGGTCAAGGATATTGATGCAGAGAATGACCAGGAGATCCCTGTTCAAAGTGTCGTTTCCCATGAGAATATGTCCCTGAGCGGTGTGGGGATGATGATGTGCTTTCTGAATTGTTACCAGAGAGTTCCCAGGATTTGGGGCTTGAAAACAACTCGGCACCTGGGCCAGCTGCAAAAGTGAATGAGCAAATAGATAGGAGGCAGGAGATTAGTCAAAACAGACAAGCCGAACAGTGGCTTCGGCGTTCTGCCAGGCTCCAACAGAAAAAGATAAGGGAATCTCAACTAAAGCGAAATCAATTTCTGAGTGCTTGGGATAGCTTAATGAGGAGATAAAAGTCTCAAGTACAGGATATGTAGTCAGATGAAGCATCGTTTGGAATCAAGTCAAGATCTCGTTCTTGTTTCATGGAAGCTTTGCTTGGAAAATTCATGTTTTAAGTGCCTTTGTTTCATGGCTTTGATTCTTGGATTCTATGCTTTTATATTCATACCTTGGATTCATATTTCCTGATTTCTTGCATTTTATTTGGGAAAGTTTTGACTTTGTTTTTATGGATTTGCTGGACTACTGGACTACTTTGCTCCTACTTTTCTTCCTACCTAATTGGATTTACCTATTTCTTTAAAGTGTTTTTTACTTTACTGCTTTTAATTATTTTCAATAAAAGGATTTTTTCCCTATCCAACGGTGTGGTATTTAAAGTCAGAGGGCTTTTCCTGTCCTGGAGTGCAACAGACGGCAGCATTTGCAGGCCAATAGGAGAGTGTTTCTCACCTCCAGTGTAGACTTCCCTCTGTCCAATGGCTGAAGTGGGGCAGGAGAGTCCAGGAGACAAAGTATATAAAATGTCTGTTTTCATATTTCTTGTAATAGTTCAAAATCCTTCCCAGTATAATTACCATGTAGACGTGATTTTATTGATTATTTTTCCAAACCCATTTAATCAGTTGTTGCCTAGTGAATCAACACACAGACAAATCTCATTTAATAATGCTCTGTTAGGACTAACCCATAGCCTCTAGGCAACAGTCCACCAAACTAATATAATTCCAATGTCATAAATCATACTTCAGTATCTAGATGTATATGTGCGCACTGCAATAACTCTAGGCATTTATATATGTATATTGGGGCATGTTAATTCAATGCATACTTTTGTCTAGACTTTCTACCAGCTTCTGGCTCTGGAATCTCTGGCATTCAGGTCTCTAGTTCAAATCTCAGCTGCTCCTTTCTGTTGCAGACAAAGATTTGGATGGAGATCTGGCAGGATTTAAAGACTAAGATGCAACATGTCCCTTCTATCGGAAGGACCGTGTTTTGTCCAAACAGGCACATCATTAACAATAATTACGGATAGCAATGATGATTTAGCAATCTTTTCCCACGGCTATTAGTTTGAACAACACAAGCACAGTCTGCAAGATTAGCATCTAAATGTCCAATTAATTTACATGTGTCCCAGTCCTGAATAAATGAAGTCCTCAAGTTACGAACAAGATAGGATATATGTGTTGCCGAAGACTTTCATGGCCGGAATCACTGGGTTGCTGTGAGTTTTCTGGGCTGTACGGCCATGTTCCAGAAGCATTCTCTCCTGACGTTTCACCCACATCTATGGCAGGCATCCTCAGAAGTTGGAAACCAGGCAAGTGAAATTGATATACCTGTGGAATGTCCCGGATGGGAGAAAGATCTCTCTTTGAGGCAAGTGTGAATGTTGCAATTGGCCACCTTGATTAGCACTGAATGGCCTTGCAGCTTCAAAGCCTGGCTGCTTCCTGCCTGAGAGAATTTATTTATTTATTTATTTAAAACTTTTGTATCCCGATATTCTCTACCTCCATAGAGGGACTCAAACCGGCTAACAGCAAGGAATCAATGCTAACAATACAATCTAAAACATCGTACATCAACAATAAATTAAAATAGATATAGACTAAATTACATAAAAGCCAGTTCGTCAAGATAAAATCATGTCCGACTCAGTCCACATATGTGGTCGATAACTTGAGTCAATTGCCAGTCTCCGCCATCATTCTGGGACTGCCTCGTTCCATAGCCAGGATTTCACTAGCTTCCTGAAGGTCAGGAGGGAGGGGGCAGATCTGATCTCAATTGGGAGAGAGTTCCATAGCCGGGGGGCCACCACAGAAAAGGCCCTGTCTCTCGTTCCCACCAGACGCGATTGCGAGGGTGAATCCTTTGTTGAGAGAATCCTTTGTTGGGAGGTGTTAGCTGGCCCTGATTGTTTATTGTCTGGAATTTCCCTGTTTTTGAGTGTCATTCTTTATTTACTGTCCTGATTTTATAATTTTTTAATACTGGTAACCAGATTTTTTTCATGGTTTCCTCCTTTCTGTTGAAACTGTCCAAATGCTTGTGGATTTGTCTGTACATTGAAAGAGTGTAACTCCAGCTACACACACACACACACACACATATGTATAGTGTTTTGGATAGCATAGGGAAGGGTTAACACCCCTGTGGGAGTTCTGTGCCCCGGTTCAGAAGATTTAACTTAAATTTTCTGTCCCTGTGATAATTTTGAAAAAAATTGGCTTGTTGTGGAAACAAGGTTTGGTGAGAAAGCTTAAGTGGAGACACCTTTTCCCCGTGATAACTCTTCCAGGAATGAATTTCCCTTCCAAAGCATTGATTTATCTCGCTTCCTGTTGTCTCAGCCCCGTTCAGGACCCCCGGTGGCGCAATGGGTTAAAACCCTTGTGCACGCAGGACTGCTGACTGATAGGTCAGTGGTTCAAATTCGAGGAGAGTGGGTTGAGCTCCCTCTGTCAGCTCCAGCTCACCATGCGGGGACATGAGAGAAGCCTCCCACAAGGATGGTAAAAATATCAAACATCTGGGAGCCCCCTGGGCAACGTCCTTGCAGACAGCCAATTCTCTCACACCAGAAGCGACTGCCTGTATACTGTCTAATTTAGTTAAAATAATTATGAATTACATGCTGGTCTGGGGTGCTAGAAAACGATGCTGTCACTGGAGGTTGCAGGAGGTGCGGACAGCACTAGATGATGCCACCAGCAGGGGTGACATTCTATAAATTTAACATATAATTTCACCTTCTTCTCACATTGCTTAAGGATTGATTGCCAGTTTTTTTTAAAAAGTTAAGGACCTTATCACACATACTTATGCTCTGTCTCTGATGCTCTTTGCCTACTGGTGGCCATGGGTCTTACCACATGAGGCAAGGTCTGTTTTGTTGGACATTTGTAGGCAATTGTAATATAATTATAAAACTTTATTTGTAGACCAACATATCTCTCTGAAGGGACTCCGAGTGGTTTCCAAAATATATGGCAAACATTAAATGCCAAAAAGGGAAAACATATAAAGGAGTTACAGCAAAACAGATCACATCAAGTAATATAAAGACAGCTTATCTTTAAACTTAAGAACAAATAAGGGCCTCTGGTTGGATCTACACTGCCATATAATCCAGTTCCTGAATCCACAGGATCTGCTTTGAAGTGGATTATATGGGTCTACACTGCCATACAATCCAGTTCAAACCTGATAATCTGGATTTTATGCAGCAGTATTGAAGGGCCTGAGACAACTTTGTTTACAAGTGAATAGTGGAGAAAAAACCCCAGAATTTAATTTCTGCCACTCTTGATATAGGGGAGACTGAAGCTTCAGAATCACTGCATCTATATAGCATATATATAGATGCATCACTACTTCTATATAGTATGTATGCATATGTGTGTATCTGTATGTCTCTCTCTCTCTCTCTCTCTCTCTATATATATATATAGTATATATGTATATATAGATGCATCACTGCATCCACATCTAGTATGTATGTATATATAGATGCATCACTACATCTATATAGCATGTGTGTATATATATATATGTATATATATATGCATCACTACAACTATATAGTATGTATGTATATGTGTGTACCTATATATCTATATATCTATATCTATATAGTATATATGTATATATAGATGCATCACTATATCTACATCTAGTATTTATGTATATATAGATGCATCACTACATCTATATAGCATGTATATATAGATGCATCATATATACTATATACTATATCACTAAATCTATATGGTATGTATGTATATGTGTGTATCTATATATCTCTATATATCTATATAGTATATATGTATATAGATGCATCACTACATCTATATAGTATATATGTATATATGTATATGCATGCATCACTACATCTACATCTAGTATGTATGTATATATAGATGCATCACTACATCTGTATAGTATGTATGTATATATAGATGCATCACTACATCTATATGGCATGTATGTATATGTAGATGCATCACTACATCTATATAGTATATATGTATATGTGTGTGTATCTGTATATCTATATATATCTATATAGTATATAGATGCACCACTATATCTACATCTAGTATGTAAGTGTGCATAGATGCATCACTACAGCTATATTGCATGTATGCATAACATCTATATAGTGTGTATGTATGTATATGTGTGTCTGTATCTATATATCTCACACTAGAGGATGAATCCACTTAAAATCCGGTTGCTGCCTCCTGCAGAACACTGGGGTTTGTAGTTTAGGGAGGAGCCTTGAACAGCCTCCCTAAACTACAAACCCCATAATTCTGCAGGAGGAAGAAACCGGATTTTAAGTGGATTCATTCCCTAGTCTAGTGTGATGGAAATCAATGTATCTGGACGCTAGGGAGAGAAAGCCGGGTGAGACACAAAGGAAAGGCTTTCCCGGGGCGGTCCTGCAGGGGGCAGCAGAGCGCCTTCCCGGCCAGGCGGGTGGGCGGTGCGAAGGCGCTTTTGCGGCCGGGCTCGGCAGGGGGCGCTGTGGCGCAATCCGAGCGCGGCTGCCTGCGCTGCGCATGGCTATATGGTGCGTGAGTGTGTGTGTGTGTGTGTCTACAGGGGGTGATGTCAGTGCCCCGAAGCCAGAGCGGGCTTGGCCAGGGACCAGCGGCAGCAGCAGCAGCAGCCACGGGCTCGCTCTCTCCTTGATCCAGGAGGAGGACCGCCAGTCCATGCCTTTGAGCCAGGAGAGGGAATGGCAGTCCTCAAGCTCACCGACCAGGTAAGACACAGAGAGGGAGAGAGAGACACAGAGACAGAGGAGGAGGCTCAGCTGCAAAGGCTGAATGGCCAGAGCTGCTGAAGAAGCATTAGCAGCAGCATGTTGTTGTTGTTGCTGCTGCTGTTGGATTGCAATTGTTGTTCTGGAGAGGAAGTGGGCGCTTGGCTTCCCATCTCCAGGGCTTGATCCTTGCAAAGGCATCCTTTCAGGGTTGGCTCCTTTGCAGGGGATCCCTCTGCTCATTGCCTCTCTGTGGCTTCTTTCTTTCTTTCTTTCTTCCTCTCTTTCTTCCTTGAGAAGGCATTTTTGGAGATTCACATCCTTCCCATTTCCTTCCCTACCCCAGTAGCTTTAACAGCTTTAGATCCAGGCAAGAGGGAAGAGGAGAAGGCCAGCCATCTGTATTATTATTATTTATTATAGCATATTATAATATATTATATTACTAATGTATAATATTATATCATTGTATTATGTGATGCTGTATTATTGTTTGATATTAGACTATATTGTAGGGTTGTTTTCTATTATTGCTTTATTCTTGTTTTATATTATACTATATTATGTTGTTATTATTATTATTATAATAGCATAATATATTATATTACTATTTATAATATTATATCATTGTATTATGTTATGCTATATTATTGTTTTATATATTGGACTATATTGTATGGTTGTTTCTTATTATATTATTGCTTTCTTCTTGTTTTATATTATGCTATATTATATTTTCGTTTTATGAATATTATGAATATAATTGTTTTATTGTTTTACAATTTATTGATTTATTTACGACATTTATATGCCGCAACTTCTCACCCCGAAGGGGACTCAGAGCAGCTTACAAGTAAAAAGTAAATACAATATATTATATTATATTATATTATTATATAATATAATATATTATATTATACAATATATTATAGATATATGAGTTGCCTAAGGGCTGAGAATAGTGGTATACAAGTGAAGTAAATAAATAAATAAATATTATTATCATAGCATAATATTAATATCATATATTACATTGTACAGTATAACATACTGTAATATTATTAGTAATATTACATTGAATACAAAATAATTCTATCATTTTATTATTATTAGTAGTATATTGTATTATGTTATAATATTATCAATATTATAACATTGCTATATTATTCATATTGTCAAATAATGGCGAATTGATAAGTTATTTTATTACTTTTTATTATTTTGTACACATTATTGTTTTATATTCTCATCTTATGAATATTATGATCATTATTTTATTGTTTTATAATAAATATAACATTGTTATATTCATATTGTTGTCAAATAATGGCGAATTGAGTTATTTTATTACTTTTTATTATTTTGTACACATTATTGTTTTATATTATATTCTCGTTTTATGAATATTACGATCATTATTTTATTGTTTTATAATAAATATTATAACATTGTTATATTATCCATATTATTGTTGAATAATGGCTCAATGGCAGTTATTTTATTATTTTATACACATTATTTTATCAGTACCATTGTTTTATATTATATTATAACCTTGTTTTATAAATATGACGATTGTTATTTTATTATTTTATGATATTATATTCTATTATTCATGTTGTTGTTGGATAATTATTTAATTTAAAGTGAGTTTTTAGTTTTTTTATTATTTTATACATATTACTTTATCAATATTCCATATTTAATAGTGAGTTTTTATTATTTTATACATATTACTTTATCAATATCCCATATTTAATATTTATTTTATTATTTTGTACATATTATTTTATCACTTTGCCATTTATTATCATCATCATCAGGCCTCCCTGTTCCTCCGCTGTACAAACCCAGTTTCTCTCATTGCCTTGTGAGATCAAGAGTTGTAAAAAATTACTAATATTGTTGAATAATTATTTAATTTAAATTGTTTTTTATTTTTTATTATTTTATACATATTATTTTATCAATATGCCATTTATTTATTTTTAAAATCATTTTATGCATATTATTTTATTACTTTCCATTTATTATTATTATTATTATCATGATCATTAGGCCTTCCTGTTCCTCTGTTCCTCTGTTGTGCAAATCTGGTTTCTCTCATTGTCTGGGGAGATCAAGCAGTTGTCAAAATCCTGGAGAAGGCAGACATGAATCATAGTATTAATGCAATAATAAATACCCCTCTCTCTGTGTGTATGTGTATGTATATGTATATGTATGTATGTATATACTGTATGTATATGTATATGTATGTATGTGTGTGTGTGTTTGTGTGATATATATATATATATATATATATATTCATGCCTTGGGATGGTTATTGGACCAGTAGGGATTATTGTGGTAGGTTGGTTTGTATCTTGATCACCTTGAACTTGAGATCCCTCCACATTTTTTATTCTGCCGCCTCCTCCATCTGCATCCTGGGGGTGGAGAGGGAAGCGAGGGAGAGGAGAAAAAATATCTCTGTAACCATGATAGGATTAATTAAAACATCCTCTGTGATCTCTGGCATGGCTGGGGGTGTATCCTGCAGTCTTTACCCGTCAATGCTTTGAAACCCTGGGATTTGTAGTTTGGTGGAGCACAGACATCCTTTGGTAAAGACCGTGCAAAACTGCAACTCCCATGATTCCGAAGCTTTGAACCGTGACAGTTCAAGTGATGCCAAACTGCATTAATTCTCAGTGTGGATGCACTCCCAGCTGTGTCTAGAGAACAGAGATGTTTTAATTAATTGAGGGCATTGCCTTGCATTATGTTGTGCCTCCAGCTTTGCAGCCCTTGGTTGTGCCCAAAGGTTTTAATTCACCTTTCTTCGTTCCCCGGCTTGACATTTTCCATCTGTCTGCATTGGGGTGGGGGTGGGGGGGGGGGGTGTTAATTGGCTGCTCCCCAGTTGCTTGAGGAAGCTCAAATATTTATGCGTCCTTTCATGAGCCAGAATCCTAAAGGGAGGCCCCTTCTCATAGGCTGTTTGTTTAACCAATCCAGGGAACCTTTTCCTTATTATTATTATTTTTAAACATGGGATAGAGTGGATTTAATAGCATCAGGCCTCTCCCCATCCACCCTCATTTACAAGGATTTCTTTCAGTAGCCTGGCAGGATGCGGGGGAATATCCTGTCATATGATGAGTTCATCCGAAAAGACCGAAAACAGAGCCAAAGCTTAGCCTTGTGTATCGTTGCTCGGCATCTCTTATCGGAACAGGAAGGATGAAAAACCACACTCCTTTTCTAGGGAAAGGGATAGGGATTCCTAGCACATCATCAGGCCCCTTTTAATAGGGTTTTCTTCCCCCCAAAAAGCATCTGTGAAGGTTTGGCCCAAGGTCTATATACTCTTTGTGTGCTCTGAAATGTGATGGGGGGACGTTTCCATCTGGCAGTTTCTGAACGCTTGTCAAAAAAGCACATATGTCTGTAGTGAGAATTACGGCGGGTTTAGATATGCGGCTAGATTGCGGTAAAATGATCTTGTGTGCATTTGAGTATAACTTTGCAAATAAATATTATTCTCTTAGTTTTACAGAGAAGATAGATTCATTCTCTAAGAAAGGCTTCCTTTCTCAAAACATTTGTTCCTTCTCTGCTGCTGTTCACACTGAATATATATATATATATATTTGTTTTCATATGTATGAGTATGCCAGGTATTTTTTTACGTGTATGATCCTCCCAAAGAGCTGCTATTTACTCCTGGGAGTGGTAGCAATAAAACGAGTTGAAAGAGTTAATTGAGGTTGTGGTCACCCATCACTTGAGTTTTTCTGTCTTGAAATGGTACTTAACTAGACTCCTTAAGGCTGGGAGTAGGTCTCATTGAAAGCCAATAGGATTTTGTCGTGTCAGGAACGACTTGAGAAACTGCAAGTCACTTCTGATGTGAGAGAATTGGCCGTCTGCAAGGATGTTGCCTAGGGGATGTTCTGATGTTTTATCATCCTTGTGGGAGGCTTCTCTCATGTCCCCGCATGAGGAGCTGGAGTTGATAGAGGGACTTATACGCGCTCTCCCCAGATTTGAACCTGTGACCTGTCAGTCTTCAGTCCTGCCGGCACAGGGGTTTAACCCACTGCGCTATTTTTATAAAATGTAGTTCTATAAAATGTACGTATGAAAACATTTTTCTATAAAATACGAGTACATATTAAATCAGAGATTAAAACACAGGGCATTTTAAAATTCATGCTTAAAACTTAAAGCTGAGTGGCACCTCAATTCAGTCCAGCATTTTCCACCCCGCAAGGTGGTTTGATCAAATAAATTTGTCACAACAATTGCCTGCCTTTCAGCATTTGATTGGATTGAAAACTCTGAAGGTTTTTGGGGGATAATTAAGAAAAGAGGGCCATAGCAAAGAGCCCCAACACTAGCCAATAGGATGTAATGGTTTGAGTGTTGGACTAGGGCCCCTTCCACACAGCTGAATAAAATCTCACATTATCTGCTTTGAACTGGGATATATGGCAGTGTGGACTCAGATAACCCAGTTCAAAGCCGATATTGTGGAATTTTCTGTCTTTATATTCTGGTTTATATGGCTGTGTGGGCTCCAGGGTTTTAATCTCCATTCATCCATGGAAACCCACTGGGTGAACTTGGGACTACTGTTTGAAAAAAAAGAGCAAATTCTTATGCACACATGACATATCTTGTTCATAGTGCAAAAAACCCCATGAAAGGACAATACAATATTTAGAATGAAAAACAATATTAACTAACATAAACTTACCAGTGGCGCAGTGAGTTAAACCCTTGTGCTGGCAGGACTGAAGACCGACAGGTCAGAGGTTCAAATCTGGGGAAGAGCTTGGATGAGCTCCCTCTGCCAGCTCCAGCTTCTCATGCGGGGACACGAGAGAAGCCTCCCACAAGTATGGTAAAACATGAAAACATCCGAGCATCCCCTTGCAGACAGCCAATTCTCTCACACCAGAAGCAACTTTCAGTTTTGCATGTAGCTCCTGATACGAAAAAAAAAACTTACC